AAGGCTTTGTCTATTCAGAGGCCCTGCCTCCGGAAGGGGGGGCTTTGCCGATTTTCCGTGGGTCTGAGGTATTGGGCATGGGCATGAGGCCCTGCCCATGTCAACAGTACACCTTCCCTCAGGACTTCATCCACTCCTTACACAGTCACTTAAGCCTTCCTTGGCTCCCCACACCTAAAACTACCCCCTGGTCTCCACAGACACACCATGTACACACACATGTACACATGCATGTACATTATACACACAGGTGCATACACACTTAAACGCCTACATATATACAAACATGGCTGACCTGTAACTCGCTATGTAGACCAGGCTAGTCTTGAACTCATAGAGATCTGCCTACCTTTGCCTCCCAAGTGTTGGATTTAAAGGCGTGTTGCCACCATACGTGTTGGATTTTTCATACTTAGTATCCCTGGGTGGCCTGGAGCTCACTTTGTAGATCAGGCTGGTCTCAAACTCCCTGAGATCCACCTATCTCTGCCTCCTAAGTGCTGGGATTAAAAGCATGTACCACCATACTCAAGTAGCATTTGGTTTTAAAAAAAAAATTAAGTTCTTATTGATTGCTGAGAGAGAGAGAGAGAGAGAGAGAGAGAGAGAGAGAGAGAGAGAGAGAGAGAGCGAGCACCTTTCAGTTTTATAATAGTGTTCTCTTAGGGGGAAAATAACAATTTATTCATCCATTTTTTGAGCCCCTTCTATGAGCCAGCAGGGCCTGTGCTGGGCTCTGGAACACAAAGTAGGAGGTGACGTGGCTCTTCTTCTGGGATGTCTTTCTAAGTCTCTCTTGATGTGGGATGTCCTTCTGTACGCTGTGAATATGTGTTGCTCTCATTAGTTGATAAATAAAGCTGCTTTGGCCTATGGCAAGGCAGGATAGAGCCAGGTGGGAAATCCAAGCAGAGATACAGGTAAAGAAGGGCAGAGTCTGGGAGAAGCCAGCCAGCCACCCAAGGAGCAAGATGCCAGCAGACCGGTAACGCCACAGTCATATGGCCATACATAGATTAATAGAAATGGGTTAATTTGAAAGAGCTAGCTAGTAATAAGCCTGAGCTGTTCGGCCACACAATTTGTAATTAATATCAAGCCTCTGAGTGATTATTTACAAGGGGCCACGGGACAGGGCGGGACAGAGAAAAGCCTCTGTTGACAGTCTCTTCCGGGCAGAGCCTAGTTCTGATGGCCGTAGCAGGGTAGCCCCTGTTGGCACCTGTGCAGAGAAAAGCTGGCGTGAAAGAAGATGCTGGACGTGAGACAAGCAGGCCAGAGACTGTGGAGCTTGCACCACGCCCTGACCCGTACAGCCGAGAAGATGCTGAGGGAACAGAGAGCCGGTTGGGTCCTGGTGCCCTCCTCACATGTCCCATGATTCCCCCTGCCTTATCAACTGCCACAACTGTGTCTGGCATACACGTAGCGCTCAGTAACTGTCCCCCGAGGTCCCTTCATCATCTGAAGTATAAGTCAGGGGTAGGTAAGAGTTGCCTCTGGCATTTGGGAGCACAGGGACAAAGGCTAAGCTGAAAGCTGGGTGTGGAGACATGGGGAGACAGAGTCTGGTGGATCTCTGTGAGTTGGGAATCAGCCTGGTTTACAGACTGAGTTCCAGGTCAGCCAAGGCTTCCAAGTGAGACTCTGTTAAAAAAAACAAAAACAAACAAAAAAACACAACGTGGGGGAAGGGATAAGCTGAGCAGAGAACAGACAAATCCCTCCCAGGAGCTCCCGCCATCAACAGGATGTGAACACATGCCACAGATTTAAAAGCGACTACTTCAGGCAGGCTCAAAGCGGTCACGTGGCCGGCTCTGCTAGCATTGTGTGGGTCATGTCCAGTCTATGGAAGCTTCCCAGGGACCGTCTCTCAGCACGTCACGGTCCCTCCATGGGGAGGAAAGGGGGAGCTGAAGGTGAGAGGGGGTATGGACAGGCTCCAAGACAGACCCCAGATCCTTAGCAACTTGATGTTTTGGAAGGAAAAAGAAAAAGGGTTAACAAGCTTGCTGAAGCTGCACAAATTCCCAGCCAAGGCAGGGAGCAGAGCTCACTGAAGGATCGCCAAGCTGGAACGCTGAACTGAATCTAATAAGACAAATTTGAACGGGGGTACACTGTGCAAACCCAGTGACCGGAAACCAGAGGGAGTGGATCTGACTCAGCATTCAAGAAGGGACATCCTTAAGATCAGTTCCCAGTGAGTTCCTCAGATGCCTGTGAGGAACGAGAAGCTTGAGTGGACCTTGGAAGGTTCCTATCAGTCCTGCTGGACCTCCAGCTGCCTGCAGACCACAACCCTGATCTGTTTGCGGATGGTGCTGCCCAGGAGCCCAGGAGAACAAGACTGAAGATAACTCAGGGACACCCATCACCCCTCCTCCCCAGACCTCACTTCTGGAATATAAGATCCAGGTGGATGGGAGGATTTTAGATAAATCTCACTCTCCAAACTTCCAAACCCACTAGTTTGGATACCAAAGGACACTTTGTAAATACTACATAATAAAACTAACCATAAGAACAATGCTGCAGGGTGGTGGTGGCTCATGCCTTTAATCCCAGCACTCAGGAGGCAGAGGCAGGTGGATCTCTGTGAGTTCCAGGACAGCCTGGTTTAGAAAGTGAGTTTTAGGATAGCCAGGGCTATTACACAGAGAAGCCCTGTCTCAAAACAAAATTACCCACTTTTTAGCCGGGTGGTGGTGGTGGCACACTCCTTTAATCCCAGTACTCAGGAGGCAGAGGCAGGAGGATCTCTGTGAGTTCGATGCCAGCCTGGGCTACAGAGTGAGTTCCAGGAAAGGCACAAAGCTACACAGAGAAACCCTGTCTCAGCAAACAAACAAACAAACAAAAAAAAAAAAGAACAATGCAGTGAGGGGCTGGAGAGATGGATCAGTGGTTAAGAGCACTGACTGCTCTTCCAGAGGTCCTGAGTTCAATTCCCAGCACCTACATGGCAGCTCACAGCTGTCTATAACTCCAGTTCCAGTGGATTCAACACCCTCACACAGACATACGTGCAGGCCAAACACCAATGCTCAGAAAATAAATAAATAAATAAATAAATAAATAAATAAATAAATAAATAAATAAATAGAAAAAATGCAGTGAGGAGGAAAATAAGAATAGAAAGAGCAGGGCTGGAGAGAGAACTCAGCTCTTGCAGAGGACCTGAGTTTGAATCCCAGCACAGTTGCCTGTAACTCCAGCTCCAGGGGATCTACCTCTGACCTATGTGGGCACCAACTCTGCCTGCACACACACACACACACACATAATAATAATAATAATAATAATAATAATAATAATAATAATAATAATAATAATAATAATAAATGAATAAATAAATAAATCTTTTTGCAAAGAATAGAGAGAGCATATAGGCATAAGTAGAAAATGGAGCGGAGGACGGAGCAGCTCTGTGCCCTGGGAAAGTCTGCGTGCCCTTTGAGGACATGCCCTCCCTACATTGTAAGCTCCACGGAGAAGCTGGAGGCTAAGGGCCAAGGGCCACAGCAGACCCTGGCACCCAACTGTGAGAAGGAAAGGTACAGAGAAGGAAGTCAGCTCTACCCACACTCCTTCCCACAGCCCAGCCCTGAGAAAAGCTACATGCACTCCCTTCCCTTTACCTTCCCACTCACTTGCCAGACTTGTGAATCTGGAGTCAGCCAAATTGCTCCACCCAAGCAGCCTTCCACATAATGACTTCCACGTCAGAACTAATAGACTTTCCCATCTTGTCTCTTCTGACTTCACAGAAGCATTAGGTAGTATTGCTGCTCTATGGCCTTGAAGTGTTCCCTTGTGTGTGGCTTATCCATCCAGGCCTCCTTGAGTAGTCCATCCATCCCTACGGTTTCACCCCTCTGTCTTCTGCAGACTTGCCCTAGTTCTTTGAGGCACAGTGGGCCTCCCATTCATTACCAGTTCCTGGCTGATCTCATCCCCTCGAACGCCTTCACTTGCCACTCCAGAAGCTGATGACTCTAAAATCCATCTTTCCAGCCCATGCAGCTTGTTCTACTCTGAGATTCATAACAGAAACTCCCACCTCCCTGAACACACCTCCAGGCTCTTGGAGCACATCTAAACTCAACCTGGAATTTCCTCTCTAAATTTGACCTTCCTCTCTCTTGGGTTGGAATAACCAGTGACTATTCCACCACCCATGCCGGAAACTCCGAGGCCATCCCTGTCCCCAGCCTTGCCATCGTCCCTAAGCCCGCTCCATTTAATAGCGCTAACCATCTCTCAGCCCTACCACTTTCTTCACCATCCACCTCCATGCTGCCCTCATCACTCACTTGGATGGCTGCCATGACCTCCTTCCTGCACACCATCCAGCAGCTCTCCCCATTCAGTATCTCCCACACTCCCTTTTTTAAAGCCCTTCTAAGTCAACATCAGTCCATCATGACCAAGGCCCTCTATCCTTCTCACAGAGGTCCACTCTTCACATCCACCTTCCTCAGAGCATCCTCCCCCGTGGCCTCTGCAGGGACTAGTCCTCTACTAGGAAACTCTTCCCACATTTGATATTCAGTATTTCAACTCTCACTTCCTCAGGGAGGGCCGTCCCGACCCAATTGTATCTAACCCACCCACGGCACCACCTCCCAGCGTTTATCACAGGGGTAACTCAACGTTTTTCGTGTGTTCCTTACGATCATTCAGTTCATACTATCTGCTTATGACTGGCACTGCATCTCCAGTTCCTAACACAATGCCTGCACAGATGGAGGAGAGAAACACTGGGACAAAAAGAAATAGGGATGCTCTTTGCCTTACAGGGTTTTATTTTTTATTTACGATACTGTTTTTTGGTAGCAAGTCCATCCACTGACTGGAGGAGGCCCACCCAGAAGATTGGAGGTGATCTCCTTACAGTGAACTTTTTGTAAATGTTAACCACACCTACAAAATACCTTTACAGTGATGTCATACCAGCTTCTGACCAAAGCCATGGGCACCACACCCTAGACTGTCCAAACCAGCACATTAAATGTAACCCCTCACGGATGATGTCACCTCAAAGACAACACCATGGTAAGCTTATTGTCATGTACTGGAGGGAAGACAGTCTATAGAGTTGGAATAATGAGGAGAACGCATCCTTGGTCCTCAGGCACTCTTGTCCTCGAGGCCAGAGTGACTTAGGATTATAGCATGGAGTGTCAGAGGTGGGGGGTCAGGCCCCCCCATTGTGAGGTCCAGATGGAATACTCATCTCAGACTGACCCCAGTCCCAGGTGCTCTCCTCTTCCTCATCTTTCCTGTCTACCAGAGTCTGCCCACTGGAATCTGGTCTGAAACTGGACTTTACCCTCCTCTTCCTGACCCATGGAGAGGTCAAGAGAACGTGACCACAGAGCCAGTGGAGATCCTGAGGATCAGCTTCCATTGGCTCCCAAGATCAGGCCCATGGACTTCTCCATAGACGGCACTAAGAGAAGAGAGTACCAAGGACTCAGTCTCTTGAAACCAGTCGAGGAAGATGGTCTCGGGTTCTTGTTTGGAAGTCCGAGCAGAGGAGTGTGGCTACCTGTATGTCTTTGACTGAAAACGGTTCTCCTCTGGGAGAATGTTGTCTTCTACCAAGCGGACCGATTCCAGAGGCATACACAGGAGCAGTGAGGGGGGAATGAGATGCTCATCTACCCAGCCAGATCGGCCACGTCAGCCCTGGCAATCATGGAGTAACAGAGGGTACTGTCGGATCACCATCACATCTCACTTCACATTCTTGAAACGTGGGAGCAGAAACCCAGGTGCAAAAGGACCACGAAGGATGGGAGAAGGGGACCCGTGTCAGGAATGGAAACGCCCGAGCTATGGGGAGCCTGGTACTTGGATACGGGACACCCTGGACCGATAGCCGGGTGAAAGTATGGGCCAGAAGAAAGTATGGGCCAATGTCCCAGCATCCCAGACAGAGTTTCCTCAGGAGATGGATGATAGATGAAACCCAGGCATGCCCTATATCAAAAGGAAGGGCACCCTGCCCAGGAAGGCAGAACAAAGAGTATTTATCAACAAACAGTCATCAAATGCCTATACCAGGTTGCACCCCTTGTGGTAGCCTGAGAACTCCAGGGAGGTGCAACATCAGCACTGTCTATCCAGTGGAAAGCATTGAGGGGCTAATCTCACAGATGCAAGATAAGTGATGTGACCTCGAACTCATCTGCTGGGGAAGTCCAGAGGCAGCAATTAGCTAGTGGAGTAAAAAAACGTTGCAAAAGAGGCAAAGTTGAAATCAAAATTGGCCAGACCTTGTCAGGACATTTCAGGCTGAGGTAAGGCAAGGCACAGGCCTGGAGGCACAGAGAGCTGAACCTGTTAGAGCAGAGGGCAAGGAGGAGGACACAGTCTCTGACCTCACAATACCCAGGGCCCACTAGGCTAGCCTTGCAGACTCTGGTGCCCTTTTCCAGCCCGGGCAAGGCCCGGGGCCCTGGGCAGCCTCCAGGTGCAGTGCCCTCCCTTGGGCCGCACCCTCTCCACTGCCCTGGGGCATGTCTCTACTTACAAATTATGAGGGGCTTCGGCATCAGATAGAGAGGTTGGTGCGGGAAAACGAGGAACTGAAGAAGCTGGTACGGCTCATTCGGGAGAATCACGAGCTCAAGTCTGCGATCAAGACTCAGGCAGGTGGCCTCGGCATCAGCGGGTTCACCAACGGGCTTGGTGAGGCAGCGGCAGGCCCTTCCCAACACCAGGGTAACTATAAGAGGCCTGGGTAGAAGGACAGCGGGGAGGGAAGGATGGGGATGTGCAGAGCGAGGAAGAGCCGGTGTGCTGGGGCCTGAGGAAACTGTGGAGGGAGGGCTTAGATAATAGCCAACATAGAGGACATTGGCCTCAACAGATGGAGGCAGGATGAATATACAGGACCATAGGACCATAGGACCAAAGGGTAAAACTAGGCTCCATACCCACTCACCCAAGAGGAGCTCTTCACTGCCTCTCAACCTAACTTCCAGGCAGCATCATTGACTGAAAAACTGCCCAGCTCTGGGGTCCAGTGTTCTTCCCTACGGAGTCCAATGTGCTACCGACCCTCAGCCCCCATATCCCTGTTTTCTCTTGCCTTCAGCCTTTCCCAACCCTCACCGTTAGCCCACGAGCTTTTTCTGCATTTCTCTCCAGTTAGAGACCGACAGAAGGAGACTCGTAGCCAGAAGCTGAGGAGAGGAAACCAGGGCTGAAGTTGAGATTCGGGATTTCTTAGTGTGTGATAGGAGCTCTGTGGCTAGAGATATCCAGAGCAGGGTAAGAGAGAGGAGAGCAAGCAAAGATGTTCAAGCGTTCACAGAAATGACGTTGAACCAATGGCTGACCCGTGCTAAGCCCAGGTCCAGGGATGGGGGCTAGAGGGAGGTGGCATTCAGACACCAAGAGATGACAGAGGCCGCCAAGCCCAGTCAGTATATTAACAGGAAGGGAGGGTTAAAAGACTAGAAAGTTGTGAGCAAAGTGTGGTCAGAATTGAAGATACCAGGCAGAAAACATACAGGGGCAATAAGCTCCCAGGATGTGGCTACAGACGCCATCATGGCTGATACAGGTTACCAAAGTGTACACAGTGAGGGAACACTGGTAGTGACTATATCCATCTCCCTGCCTACACAGGCCTTCCTGTCCTAGACATTGTGTTTTGCCGTCCGTGATTTTCTGCGTGTGCTTACGGTCCGTCCCCCTCTACGGTAACCCACCCTCTGTCACAGCCCTCCAGCTTAACCGCCCCTGCTTCCTCTACTCACGATCAGGCATGAAGTCTCTCTCATCTGAGAAGAGAGCTTTACTCTGCCTGTTTAGACCTCTACGGTTTGGCAATGGACGCCAACCATGCTGTCTAGAAAGGTTCTGAGTAACATTCTAAGTGCCACCTCAGTGCCTTCTCCACCTCTGCACGGCATTTGGGAATAATAACCCTTTGCTGAGTACTCTCTCCCTGAGCTCCCAAGCCAAGTTAGTTATCTACGTCCTGACTCACGGTAATCACGGCAACTCCCAGGCTCAGGCTCCAAGCCCCGCCCACCCCTCCACCTTCAGCCAATCCACCTACAGCACTGCTCCAACCCCCAACTTAAAGTGAAGATAGCTTCAGGGAGGATCCTGAAGGTCTAATTAATCCCCGAAAATAGTCTCACCAGGGCGTGGGGATGTAGTGCAGTTGGTAGGGTGCTTGCTGAGCATGCGTGGAGCCCTGGGCTTGATCCCTACCCCTAACTAGGTATGACTACACAAGTCCGTAGCAGGAAGATTTAGAAGTTAAAAGTCATTCTCAGCTGCGTAGTGATGGGAGGCCAGTCTGGATTACACAAGACACTGTCTCAAAAAGGAAGTTCTGGTTTAGAACTCAGACCTTCATACTGAGAGGCTAAAGTCCTTTGGACAGTACTCACTTCCCTTACGGCTTCCTTCCCATCTCCTTCCCCGCCGGGCGTCTTACCATCAAGCCTGGCTGTAGTGGACACTCTTTATTTCCCTAGTAGTGGTCATAAGCACATGTGCACCTCCAGGTTTACATGTCATGTCATTAATGACTGAGATAACACAGACAGGGGAACAAAAATAATATGCATCGAGAAGGTATGAAGTTTAAGAAGTTCCCTCATCTAAGATGCTAGATTCTGTCTTCCTACTCTAAGCATAGGGTTTTGTTCCTTTCTAAATTCATCTTTTAAGTATGTATTTGTGTATGGGTTTGTATGTGAGGGCATGCATGCACATGCCATGGCACATGTGTGGAGGTCAGAGACAGCTGCAGGCATTGGTTCTTATCTTTCATCTTGAGTCAGGGTTCCTCTTTTTCCAGCCTCTGTATGTATACTTCAGGCTACCCAGCCCATGAGCTTCTGGGGGATTCTCCAGGTTCTGCCTCTGATCTCATAAGGGGAATTTGCATCTTATAGACACATGTCCCACTTTTATACAGGTTCTGGTGACCCACATCGGGTCTTCATGCTTGTATTAAGTGCTTTTGTTCATGAAGCCAACTCCCTGGCCCTTGTGATTTTGAGGCAGATCTCACTATATAGCCTAGGCTGGTCTTGAACTTAGTATGTAGCCCAGGTTGGCCTCAAAGTGGTTATCTCCCTATTTCAGCCTCTAGAGTGCTGATATTACAGGTGCATACAACCATATCTGGCTTTTAGGTTTAAATCTTAAACCCTTGGGTGTTGTTTTTCCATTGGTACAGAGGCTGTACTTTAACCTACTGCTGTGTTAGCCAGCAAATGTGACTCCACAGTTACTGGCCTGCTTCTCTGGCAGTGGCCACTCAGGCTGTGGCCTGGCAGGAATTCTGTTCTCCAAAGCACTGGCTTTGTTGCTGTTGCCAAATATGGCTTTTAATTAAATCTCTATTCTTCTGTTTATCAATAAGACTCGGGAGCCAAAGGTTGGGGTGAAAACCTGCTAGCTCAAAGAGGTTGAGTAACAACTAGTTGACCTTTTCTTTTTGCTGGTGTCTCTGAAAAAGAGGATCCTTCCATTCCACCAAAACAAAAGAACCCACCCTAGACTAAGTCCCTCTCTACTACTTCCTGTGTGTCTGTCTTCTTACAGACACCTATGACTCTCTATGATTACTTTCTGTTAAGTAGTTGCTAATTTGGCCTCCTGACCCAAGGTTGATTTTATTTAATTAATGCAAATGCACACTCAGGGTTCACAGTATGATGAAATATCCCACAAAACTTGGGGCTGGAGAAATGACTCAATAGTTAAGAGCATTGTGCTCTTGCAGAGGGCAGGGCAGCTAACAATCTTTTGTAACTCCAGTGCCCAACACACTTTTCCGGCATCCTCAGGCCCCAGGCACACATGTGATACATGGACATACGTACAGGCAAAACACCCATACACATAAAAAAAAAAAAAAAAAAAAAAAAACCTGTCTTTAAAAAAAACGTAAATAAATAAAATAAAGAGACAATAAATATTCAGAGTATGTCTGACTGAAAGGACTAGGTGTCTGACTAACGGGCACCACTTCCTAAGAATGCACAATTTGCCATCATCAGGCCCAGTCAAGGAGGCTCCTTCAGAGTTACCTCAGTGGCTCTTATCCCACTACTCTCTCACTCTGCTTGTTACAACAATCTATTTTCTTTTTTTTCATGTATGGCTTTTTTTTGGGGGGAGGGGTTCAAGACAGGGTTTCTCTGTATAGCTTTGTGTCTTTCCTGGAACTCGCTTTGGAGACCAGGCTGACCTCAAATTCATAGAGATCTGCCTGCCTCTGCCTCCCGAGTGCTGGGACTAAAGGCATGCGCCACCACCGCCCGGCTACATGTATGGCTTTTGATAGAGTTTCATGTAGACCAACTGACTTTGAGCTCCTGATCCCCCTGCCTCTGCCTCCCAAGCACTGGGCTAACAGGACTGTGCCACCACACCTGACTCCTATAACCTATTTCTGTGAATGGCCTTCTCTGTGAGGTCAGGCTCCTTATTTGCTCTCAAGAACTCCAGCTTTAATTTCTCTTTCTAGGGACCACATTGTTCCTTTAAGCTCTGGTCCAGGGCTCTGATGCAACCAAATTCAGGAGGAACACAGAAGGAAATAGAGCTGGGAGATATGAACAGATCTTGAACACATGGGCTGTAGGTACTCAAAATCATGTACACCAGGCTCACTGCAGTGCAGCACCAAGGCCCGATGGTGGAAAAAAATGGGTGTTGGATGGATGGGTCTCGGGACCAAGGGATCATCAGTTCTACGCCAGGGACCACCTCCTAGGCCATCACTCCAGAAAGTACAATAATCCTAAATTTAAATTTACTATTCTAGGTCATTACAAAGGTTTTTCAGAGTGAGAAGGAAGAACATTAAGAGTTGACTTGAATAATAGTTTTCAACACAGGATGTGGGCTCCCATTTGTGTTCCTGCCCACAGCCCTGTGAGTGTTAGAGGTGAGCCTGGCAAAGGGAAATACAATGTTGGAGGAAGTCAAAGAGTGGAAATTGGATGGACTGTGAGATAGCCATTGAGAGGCTTCCGGAGACAGTGGTAACATGAATCCTGAAAATCAGAGGAGGAGGTCAGGGCTAGCTAGAAAAGATTTGAAAGTCTTTGATAATTGAAGTCATGAGAGGGGTTAAGAACACCTGGGAACGCCAGGCAGTGGTGGCGCACGCCTTTAATCCCAGCACTCAGGAGGCAGAGGCAGGCGGATCTCTGTGAGTTCGAGGCCAGCCTGGTCTACAGAGTGAGATTCAGGACAGGCTCCAAAGCTACACAAAGAAACCCTGTCTCAAAAAAAAAAAAAGAAAGAAAGAAAGAAA